GCCTGTTTTAGGGCCCAGAGCAGCTGTCTTCTTATTTTAGTCACTTGATCATTTTGTTTGGCTGGGAACAAAACAAACAAGCCATGTTTTCATGTTCCAAAATGGGCTTTGGAGATACAAATTTTCCTAAGTGTGGACATGCCAAATAGGCACAATGCCTTTCAAATCCCCCTTTCCTAATATATGCCAAGAGAATATAGTGGGTTGTTGATTTGATGGTTGCCCAGACAGTCATATCTATGTTTTTGGTCTCCTTTCCTAGTGTAATAGTAGAAACTCAAATCATGCTTTCTAGAAAAAATATCTTATCCATTTTTACTTTACCAATGTGCTATTCTTGTGATTGAATAAATCATTTTTATGGTACTGGTTCTGGACAATTACCATTTTATTTACTCTTAAGTTTAACATATCTAAGTTTAACATATCTCCTATTTATGAATTTATTGATATATATATATATATAATGCCTGTAAAGTCTTAGTTTCCTTACTTCTAAATTTAGGACTTTGAGAATGTCTATTCTACTCATCTCACAATGTTGCAAAGAAAATTATTTATAATGTATAAAGTATTATATACAACTAATGTTATCAGTATTTCTATATATCCAAATTAGGGGTTTTTTTCAAAGTAATCTCTTTGGAAGAATATAGACTTATTCTGTGAATAAAAAATAAAAAGTGGCCCTAACTGGTTTGGCTCAGTGGATAGAGCATTGGCCTGCGGACTGAAGGGTCCCAGGTTCGATTCCAGTCAAGGGCATGTACCTTGGTTGCGGGCACATCCCCAGTAGGGGGTGTGCAGGAGGCGGCTGATTGATGTTTCTCTCTCATCGATGTTTCTAACTCTCTATCCCTCTCCCTTCTTCTCTGTAAAAAATCAATAAAATATATTATAAAATATATACATATATTTTTTAAAAAGTGTAGTGTGCTTGTTAAAGTGAAGTTTCTTTTCCCTCTTTTTTTCTTTTCCTTTCCCTTCCTAAACAATTCAGTTCTAAAGCCATTAGGTGAGGCAACATAAGGCAGGTGTCTACACTGACCAGTAGTCCAGAGAAAGGAGTCAGAGTCCAAACATGGGGAAGGTCCACACAGTGGGGAGCAGCCCAGCTGTGGAGTCAGATGCAGTGAGGCAGTGTCTGTGCACGGAGGGAGTGGCAGTGGAAGGACATGAGTTAAATAAGTTAAACAGAGGGCAACTGTCTTAGTCCATTCAGGCTACTAGCAAAATATTACTGAATGGGTGACTTATAAACAACAGACATTTATTTCAATTCTGTAAGCTAGGAGGTCCAAGATCAAGTTGCTAGTGCGGTTGAGTTCTTGTGAAGGCCCTCTTTCTGGTCCATAGGTGGAGACTTTTTACTGTGTCCTCACATGGGGGAAGGGACCAGGGATTTCTCCCCCTTTTATAAGGCACTACTATATATTATATATATTATCTATACTAATAAAAGCCTATGTGGTCATCATGCCCTCACGCCATGATGCCCTCACGCCCTAACAATCCATCACCAGGAGGCTGCATGTGCAGCGGGCGCACGCGGGTGGGTGGGGCTGTGTGCACAGCGAGTTGCGCATGGGTGGGTGGGGACTTGATGCTATGTGCACAGCGCAGAGGTGGGACCCTTGGCTCCGGCCTACCTCTTTGGGGCAATCCTTTGAGGAGCCCAGATGGGTGGATGGGGCCTACCTCTTTGGGGAGATTGATTGTGGGGCTCCCTCACTGTGAGAGGGTACAGGCCAGGCTGGGGAACACCCCCCCCACCCCCGAGTGCACGAATTTCGTGCATTGGGCCTCTAGTTATATATAAAATAGTATAAACATATATTAATTACATCTCATATTAAGTATATTCTATTATACTGTCATTAAATGTTATATTGTTAACTAGAGGCTGGGGGGTCCCTCAGCTCGGCCTCCACCCTCTCGCAGTCCAGGACTCCTCGGGGGATGTCTACCTGCCAGCTTAGGCCTGTTCCCCGGGGGATTGGGCCTAAGCCGTCAGTCATACATCCTTAGCGCTACCACGGAGGCAGGAGAGGCTACCACCACTGCTGCTGCATTCGCAGCTATCGGCCCAGTTTGTGGCTGAGTGGAGCGCACTGACCACCAGGAGGCAGCTACTGCATTGAACGTCTGCCCCCTGGTGGTCAGTGTGCGTCATGGTGACTGCTCATTTCTGGTCGTTTGGCCGTTAGGATCAATTTGCATATTACCCTTTTATTATATAGGATTATACTATTTAATTATATATTATATTAAATATATTATTATATTATAAAACTATATATATGTATTATTCCAGCACTTTAAAATCAGATTTTATTTTAAATAATACTTAGGTATATGAGGGAAGTATGCTATTATAACCTAATAATAGTTCAGTGAGAACTTTAATAAAGAAGGAATAGGAGAATCCATTCATTCAGGGACCAGATAGCTATTCTATTCAACTTTTCATTTATAGCCATGCTGTCTTGTCTTCACCTTAGCAGAACATTACAGGCTGTGCAGTCACAGAACAGGCTCATACCAGTGGACAAGAGCCAATTGTTACATTTTGTGAACTTGTTTTAAACATAGCCATTGGTAAAAATTAAATTATATAAATGTAAAAATAAATTAATTACAGTAAAAGAAAAGTAATGCTCAAAACCCATCACATTCTAATTGTTTACCACATTTTACTATTACCTATGCCCTTGGGGGTATTTATGACCCAGATCAGTGAGATCTCATTGGTAGCCTGAAATTGGCCATGATGGAGTATTTATGGAGTGAAAATAGGTGAACACTACACACCATGTCTTTATGTATTGATTGTATAGATTTAAGAAAGTGGTAGAGAAATGTTAATAATGCAGATAAAACTAAAATGGGTGTTGTGTCTGTAGTCATTACATTGTGACACATAAATATGAGGAAATACTTTTCCATTATAAAAAATATCCAATTTAACAAAGAAGTCACTCATGCCATTGATGAACCTGTGAAATTCTGAGATACATCTCTATATTTCACTCTTCCTTTTGCTCTTTAACAAAGAAATCAACCAACATTTATGTCAGAAATATATTCAGGCCCTAACCGGTTTGGCTCAGCGGATAGAGCGATTTTAGAGAGAGAGAGAGAGAAACATTGTTCGGTTGCTTCCTGCCCGAGCCCCAACCAGAGAAGGAACCCACAACCAGGATGTGTGCCCTGACAGGGAATTGAGCCCCTTACCTTTTGGTGTACAGGACAATGCTCAAACCACTGAGCAACCACACTGGCCAGGTCTATATGTTTTTTTAATAGACTTTATTTTTTAGAGTAGTTTTAGGTTCACAGAAAATTTAGCACAAAGTATAGAGAGTTCTCATAGATCATCTTCCCCCAAGCATGCACAATCCCCCCCACCACAGACACATACACACTATCAACATCCCCAACCACAGAGATATATTTGTTATGATGAGCCTACATTGACACATCACTATCACCAAAGATCCGTAGTTTACATTAGGATTCACTCCTGGTGTTGTACCTTCTATGTGTTTTTGATAAGTGTATAATGACATGTATTCACCATTATAGTATCATTAGAGGCCTGGTGCACAAATTCGTGCATGGGGGCGGGGGGGGAGGGTCCCTTGGCCTAGCCAGCAATTGAAGCCAATCAGAGTCAATCAGAGTCAGCTGGCTGTGGGGAGGGACCACGGGAGGTTGACTATGGGAGGGCACTGACCACAGTGGGCAGCTCCTGCATTGAGTGTATGCCTCCCAGTGGTCAGTGCACATCATAGCTACCGGCCGGTCATTTGGCATTCGGTTGACCTATCCTAATGATCGCTTAGGCATATATATCTATATCTATCTATCTATCTATCCAGTAATGAATACAAAATTTTCTAAAAAGTCAACAAAAGCATTATGTTATAATTAATTTATATAGAATTAACAATGAAGAGTATTATATATGTGTATATATGTGTGTGTGTATATATAATCTATCTATCTATCTATCTATCTATCTATCTATATATGGTATAGGATAGGTCACTGTTCTAAAAATCCTCTGTGCACTATCTATTTCTCTCTCCCTCCTATCGCCTGCTAACCACTGGTATTTTTACTGTCTGTATAGTTTTGCCTTTCCTAGAGTGTTATGTAGCTGGAAACATATAGTATGTGACCTTTTCAAATTAGCTTCTTTCACTTAGTAATATGCATTTAAGGTTCCTTCATGGATTTTCATGGCTTGATAGCACACCTTCCATCATCTGGATGTACCATAGTTTATTGATCCTTTCACCTACTTAAGAACATCTTGGTTGCTTCTAAGTTTTAACAATTATGAATACATTTGATAATAGACATTTGTGCAGATTTTTTGCATGTACATTTTTATAGTTTAGAAATTACATACTATCATGCTATCTTTCTATCAGTAAAATTGACAATAAACTTATGTACAAATACATGTTTATACTTCTGATTGTTGGTGTTTGAACATCTACCAGCACACCACTGCTTAAAGGCTGTGGTAAACACTGGCTTTCCTCTGAGTGAAATAGGAGGCTGCTGAAGGATTTTGAGCAGGGAAGTGGCTGACATTGTTAAAGGTCCACTCTGGGTTGTGTTCAGACCTTAGTGAAAGAGAAGCAGTTAGAGAACAGAATAAAACCTTTATTGCCAGTAAAGGCTGGGTTGGAGGATATAGTTTAGCATGAGAACAATGATGGCATGCAAACTCCCTATCCTCCAGTCCTGGCCTGGGAGTCTGAGGGAAAGA